TGTCTGGGTCACTTGCTGTTTGGAGGTTTTGACAGACATATTATTTTTGTCTGTGTCACTCACTGTTTGGAGGTTTTGACAGACATAGTATTTTTGTCTGTGTCATGCACTGTTTGGAGGTTTTGACAGACAGTATTTTTGTCTGTGTCACGCAATGTTTGGAGGTTTTGACAGACCGTATTTTTGTCTGGTTCACTAACTGTTTGGAGGTTTTGACAGACATAGTATTTTTGTCTGGGTCACTTGCTGTTTGGAGGTTTTGACAGACATAGTATTTTTCTCTGGGTCACTCACTGTTTGGAGGTTTTGACAGACATAGTATTTCTGTCTGGGTCATGCACTGTTTGGAGGTTTTGACAGACATAGTATTTTTGTCTGGGTCATGCACTGTTTGGAGGTTTTGACAGACATAGTATTTTTGTCTGGGTCACTTGCTGTTTGGAGGTTTTGACAGACATATTATTTTTGTCTGGGTCACTCACTGTTTGGAGGTTTTGACAGACATAGTATTTTTGTCTGGGTCACGCACTGTTTGGAGGTTTTGACAGACAGTATTTTTGTCTGGGTCACGCACTGTTTGGAGGTTTTGACAGACATAGTATTTTTGTCTGGGTCATGGACTGTTTGGAGGTTTTGACAGACCGTATTTTTGTCTGGGTCACTCACTGTTTGGGGGTTTTGACAGACATAGTATTTTTGTCTGGGTCACTTGCTGTTTGGAGGTTTTGACAGACATAGTATTTCTGTCTGGGTCACGCACTGTTTGGAGGTTTTGACAGACAGTATTTTTGTCTGGGTCATGCACTGTTTGGAGGTTTTGACAGACATAGTATTTTTGTCTGGGTCATGCACTGTTTGGAGGTTTTGACAGACAGTATTTTTGTCTGGGTCACTCACTGTTTGGAGGTTTTGACAGACATAGTATTTTTGTCTGGGTCATGCACTGTTTGGAGGTTTTGACAGACAGTATTTTTGTCTGGGTCACTCACTGTTTGGAGGTTTTGACAGACATAGTATTTTTGTCTGGGTCATTCACTGTTTGGAGGTTTTGACAGACAGTATTTTTGTCTGGGTCACGCACTGTTTGGAGGTTTTGACAGACATAGTATTTTTGTCTTTCTCGTCACCTTTGTTTCTCTTCATCTCCTTCAGTAGCTCCTCCTCCTCCTGTCTCAGTAGCTCCTCCTCCTCCTCCTCCTCCTCCTGGCTCAGTGTCTCCTCCTCCTCCTCCTGTCTCAGTGTCTCTTCCTCCTCCTGTCTCAGTGTCTCCTCCTCCTCCTGTCTCAGTGTCTCCTTCTCCTCCTGTCTCAGTGTCTCCTCCTCCTCCTATCCCAGAGTCTCCTCCTCCTCTTGTCTCAGTTCCTCCTTCTCCTCCTGTCTCATTGTCTCCTCCTACTCATGTCTCTGTGTCTCGTCCTCGTCCTCGTCCTCGTCCTCGTCCTCGTCCTCGTCCTCGTCCTCGTCCTCCTCCTCCTCCTCCTCCTCCTCCTCCTCCTCCTCCTGTCTTAGTGTCTCCTCCTCCTCCTGTCTCAGTGTCTCCTTCTCCTCCTGTCTCAGTGTCTCCTCCTCCTCCTGTCCCAGAGTCTCCTCCTCCTCCTGTCTCATTTCCTCCTTCTCCTCCTGTCTCATTGTCTCCTCCTCCTCATGTCTCTGTGTCTCCTCATCCTCGTCCTCCTCCTCCTTGTCCTCCTCGTCCTCGTCCTCGTCCTCCTCGTCGTCGTCCTCCTCCTCCTCCTCCTCCTCCTCCTCCTGTCTCTGTGTCTCGTTCTCCTCCTGTCTCAGTGTCTCCTCCTCCTCCTGTCTCAGTGTCTCCTTCTCCTCCTGTCTCAGTGTCTCCTCCTCCTCCTGTCTCAGTGTCTCCTCCTCCTCCTGTCTCAGTGTCTCCTCCTCCTCCTCCTGTCTCTGTGTGTCTCCTTCTCCTCCTGTCTCAGTGTCTTCTCCTCCTCCTGTCTCAGTGTCTCCATCTCCTCCTATCTCAGTGTCTCCTCCTCCTCCTATCTCATTATCTCCTCCTCCTGTCTCAGTGTCTCCTCCTCCTCCTATCTCATTTCTCCTCCTCCTGTCTCAGTTTCTCCACCTCCTGTCTCAGTGTCTTCTTCTTCTCCTGTCTCAGTTTCTCCTCCTCCTGTCTCAGTGTCTTCTTCTTCTCCTGTCTCAGTGTCTCCTCCACCTCCTGTCTCAGTGTCTTCTTCTTCTCCTGTCTCAGTGTCTCCTCCTCCTCCTGTCTCAGTGTCTCCTCCTCCTCCTCCTCCTCCTGTCTCAGTGTCTCCTCCTCCTCCTATCTCATTGTCTCCTCCTCTTGTCTCAGTATCTCCTCCTCCTCCTATCTCATTGTCTCCAACTCTTGTCTCAGTGTCTCCTCCTCCTCCTCCTTCTCCTCCTCCTCCTCCTCCTCCTATCTCATTGTCTCCTCCTCCTCCTCCTCCTCCTCCTCCTCCTCCTCCTCCTCCTTTCTCAGTGTCTCCTCCTCCTCCTATCTCATGTCTCCTCCTCCTGTCTCAGTGTCTCCTCATCCTCCTGTCTCAGTGTCTTCTTCTCCTCCTGTCTCAGTGTCTCCTCCTCCTCCTATCTCATTGACTCCTCCTTTTGTCTCAGTGTCTCCTCCTCCTCCTCCTCCTCCTCCTCCTCCTCCTATCCTCCTATCTCATTGTCTCCTCCTCCTCCTCCTCCTGTCTCAGTGTATCCTTCGCCTCCTTTCTGTGTCTCCTCCTCCTCCTGTCTCAGTGTCTCCTCCTCCTCCTGTCTCAGTGTCTCCTCCTCCTGTCTCAGTTCCTCCTCATCCTCCTATCTCATTGTCTCCTCCTTTTGTCTCAGTGTCTCCTCCTCCTCCTCCTCCTCCTCCTGTCTCAGTGTCTCCTCCTCTTCCTATCTCATTGTCTCCTCCTCCTGTCTCAGTGTCTCCTCATCCTCCTGTCTCAGTGTCTTCTTCTCCTCCTGTCTCAGTGTCTCCTCCTCCTCCTATCTCATTGACTCCTCCTCCTGTCTCAGTGTCTCCTCCTCCTCCTCCTCTTCCTCCTCCTCCTCCTATCCTCCTATCTCATTGTCTCCTCCTCCTCCTCCTGTCTCAGTGTATCCTTCGCCTCCTTTCTGTGTCTCCTCCTGTCTCAGTGTCTCCTCCTCCTCCTGTCTCAGTGTCTCCTCCTCCTGTCTCAGTGTTTCCTCCTCCTCCTATCTCATTGTCTCCTCCTCCTGTCTCAGTGTCTCCTCATCCTCCTGTCTCAGTGTCTTCTTCTCCTCCTGTCTCAGTGTCTCCTCCTCCTCCTATCTCATTGTCTCCTCCTTTTGTCTCAGTGTCTCCTCCTCCTCCTCCTCCTCCTCCTCCTCCTCCTCCTCCTTCTCCTCCTCCTCCTCCTCCTCCTACTCCTCCTATCCTCCTATCTCATTGTCTCCTCCTCCTCCTCCTGTCTCAGTGTATCCTTCGCCTCCTTTCTGTGTCTCCTCCTCCTCCTGTCTCAGTGTCTCCTCCTCCTCCTGTCTCAGTTTCTCCTTCTCCTGTCTCAGTGTCTCCTCCTCCTCCTGTCTCAGTGGCTCCTCCTCCTCCTATCTAATTGTCTCCTCCTCCTGTCTCTGTGTCTCCTCCTCCTCCTCCTCCTCCGGTCTCAGTGGCTCCTCCTCCTTCTATCTAATTGTCTCCTCCTCCTGTCTCTGTGTCTCCTCCTCCTCCTCCTCCGGTCTCAGTGGCTCCTCCTCCTCCTATCTAATTGGCTCCTCCTCCTGTCTCTGTGTCTCCTCCTCCTCCTCCGGTCTCAGTGGCTCCTCCTCCTCCTATCTAATTGTCTCCTCCTCCTGTCTCTTTGTCTCCTCCTCCTCCTCCTCCTCCGGTCTCAGTGGCTCCTCCTCCTCCTATCTCATTGTCTCCTCCTCCTGTCTCAGTGTCTCCTCCTCCTCCTATCTCATTGTCTCCTCCTCCTGTCTCAGTGTCTCCTCCTCCTCCTATCTCATTGTCTCCTCCTCCTGTCTCAGTTTCTCCTCATCCTCTTGTCTCATTGCCTCCTCCTCCTCTTGTCTCTTTGTCTCCTCCTCCTCCTATCTCATTTTCTCCTCCTCCTGTCTCAGTGTCTCCATCTCCTCCTGTCTCAGTTTCTCATCCTCCTCCTATCTCATTGTCTCCTCCTCTTGTCTCAGTGTCTCCTCCTCCTTCTGTCTCCGTTTCTCCTCCTCCTCCTCCTCCTCCTCCTCCTCCTCCTCCTCCTCCTCCTCCTCCTCCTCCTGTCTCAGTGTTTCTTCCTCCTCCTATCTCATTGTCTCCTCCTCTTGTCTCAATGTCTCCTCCTCCTCCTATCTCATTGTCTCCTCCTCTTGTCTCATTGTATCCTCTGTAGTTATGACGTTTCACATTGGATTTATTAACTACAGAAACTTAAGATGTGTTTTTATTTTCAGTCTGGTTCCGCTCTGCACACACAAGCTTGTTAGATAGCTGGCTAGCTGAAGTTCAAAAACATTTAAAGTTCCTTCATAGAAGCCATTCCTCCGTAAGTATAATTCGGTGCACAGCGCTTCAAGCCAAGCCTCCACCTTCTCTCGCTCTCTCCCCACCCGCAAAATGTCAGTCGCATCTCATTCCCTACGCTCGTCTACTCTGTCCAATGCCTGTAAATAGCTTGCCCGCTCCATAGCAAGCTGCTCTAGTCGCACTAATTGGTGAAGTAGTTTAATGTTGAGGTTTTCAAAGGAACAGAAAGGAACAATATAAACCGTTACTTTTTGTGGGTTCAAACTGGTTCAGAACCTTATTTTGCTGGTCGGAACAGTGGAACAGAAGGGTTCTGTTCAGAACTAAATTGGAAAATAATTTTGATTCGAACACATGGATTCTACTACACATGAATCAATCAGTGTGACTGTACTACACATGAATCAATCAGTGTGATTCTACTACACATGAATCAATCAGTGTGATTGTACTACACATGAATCAATCAGTGTGATTCTACTACACATGAATCAATCAGTGTGATTCTACTACACATGAATCAATCAGTGTGATTGTACTACACATGAATCAGTCAGTGTGACTCTACTACACATGAATCAGTCAGTGTGATTCTACTACACATGAATCAATCCGTGTGATTCTACTACACATTTACATTTTAGTCATTTAGCAGACGCTCTTATCCAGAGCGACTTACAGTTAGTGAATGCATACATTTTCATACTGGCCCCCCGTGGGAATCGAACCCACAACCCTGGCATTGCAAGCACCATGCTCTACCAACTGAGCTACACTGGACCTACACATGAATCAGTCAGTGTGATTCTACTAGACATAAATCTGGTTTTATCTGATGCATGCTATGAAGTTTTTAATTAATGGGTGTCTTGTCTACACAGGGTTGATTAACACTTCTTAGTGGGTTAATCGACTGTCTAATACTATGTGTTTAATGTAGGCTGATATAACCTCTATCAAGTTACAAGATACTGTAGCTGTGCTAATAATGGTGCTGGGTGCCGTTCATCAGCCGAATAATGTCGCCGTTCATCATTTACATTTTAGTCATTTAGCAGACGCTCTTATCCAGAGCAACTTACAGTTAGTGAGTGCATAATTTTCAAAAAAATGTCATACTGGCCCCCCGCGGGAATCGAACCCACAACCCTGACGTTGTAAGCGCCATGCTCTACCAACTGAGCTACAGGAGGCCTAATAATGGTGCTGGGTGCTGTTCATCAGCCTAATAATGTTGCTGGGTGCCGTTCATCAGCCTAATAACGGTGCTGGGTGCCGTTCATCAGCCTAATAACGGTGCTGGGTGACGTTCATCAGCCTAATAATGTTGCTGGGTGCCGTTCATCAGCCTAATAATGGTGCTGGGTGACGTTCATCAGCCTAATAATGGTGCTGGGTGCCGTTCATCAGCCTAATAATGATGCTGGGTGCTGTTCATCAGCCTAATAATGATGCTGGGTGCTGTTCATCAGCCTAATAATGATGCTGGGTGCTGTTCATCAGCCTAATAATGATGATGGGTGCTGTCCATCAGCCTAATAATGGTGCTGGGTGCTGTTCATCAGCCTAATAATGGTGCTGGGTGCTGTTCGTCAGCCTAATAATGGTGCTGGGTGCGGTTCGTCAGCCTAATAATGATGCTGAGTGCTGTTCATCAGCCTAATAATGGTGCTGGCTGCTGTTCATCAGCCTAATAATGGTGCTGGGTGCTGTTCGTCAGCCTAATAATGGTGCTGGGTGCTGTTCATCAGCCTAATAATGGTGCTGGGTGCTGTTCATCAGCCTATTGCATTCATCTCTGTGGTACCTTATATACCTGGATTGTAGCAGACTCTCCCTACCCCACTCCACCCGTACAGGCTGTTTAAAATCATTGGCTGTGTGTGTGTGTGTGTGTGTGTGTGTGTGTGTGTGTGTGTGTGTGTGTGTGTGTGTGTGTGTGTGTGTGAGATGGGAGGTCAAGGACGGTCTTGAATGCCATGCCTCTGGCTGCTCCTGTTTGTACCCAAGTTATTTAAAGAGCTCATCTACCCTACCCTCCTACCACTCACCAATGCACGCACGCACGCACGCACACAGACACACACACACACACACAGAAAAACACACTTTGTCCTGAAGCCTCCCGTCAGTGTGTCCTGACTTTCGACCTGCTGGATTAATGAATGAATCTCCTCTCTGTCTGGATCCCAGAGAGGGTTCTGAGCTGAGCACTGCCTCTCCTCTCCTCTCCTCTCCTCTCCTCTCCTCTCCTCTCCTCTCCTCTCCTCTCCTCTCCTCTCCTCTCCTCTCCTCTCCTCTCCTCTCCTCTCCTCTCCTCTCGCTGCCTGGTGGGCACAGAGATGGCAGCACTCACCCATTCATCAACAAGCCTATGGGGAGGGAAACATGGCGGAGAGAGAGGGAGAGGGTAGAAGTGAAGGAGAAGGAAAGGTGGAGGGAAGAGGGGGGAGGAGGGTGGGTATGTATGGGTGACAGACATCCTGAGGTGTTCACTGAGGTATGAGGGGTAGTAGGGTAAGGGTGTGGGAAGAGGAGGAGGGAAGAGGGTGTATTTAAAGATAGAAATGGGACAGCTCTCCATCTTTAAATGAATAACTCACCGTGGGGCTCTCCCATTGTTTCCCCCAAATAACATCACATTAATTTCCATTTAACTCGGGAGATTTTCAGAAAAGATGGATTACAATATCATAAAGTCTGCAAGGGTGAAGAGAGGGGAAGGGAGAGAGGTGGAAACTGAGGCCCGTAACCCTGCTGGGGGTTGAACTACGCTAATGAACAGAAACAGAGAAGAGACGTAAAGAAAGAGGGAAAAGAGGCAAACAGGCTGTCAGCCTTTGATCAGCACTGGCACTTGTCAAGGTAGGAAGCCATGTTGTTTCATGACATGCAGACTGATGTCAACTTTAACGATGGAGTGAGGCCAGGAAAGACAAACAGGGAAGTCCCTCTCTCTTTCCTCTGGGATGAGAGGACGAGTAGGGAGGGGGATGACGCAGATTTAGCAGCCCTCACTCCACCACAGAAAGATTGTGGCTGTTTTTCCTTTCATCTCCTCACACATTCACACATAGACAGAGAGAGAGGAGAGAGAGAGAAGATGGAGAGAGAATGAGAAAGAGAAAGAGATAGATACGGTGCCTTCAGAAAGAACCCTTCACTTATTACACATTTTGTTGTGTTACAGCCTGAATTCAAAATGAATTAAATATTTTTTTTTCTCTCAACCATCTACACACAATACCCCATAACCCTGTAGCTCAGTTGGTAGAGCATGGCGCTTGCAACGCCAGGGTTGTGGGTTCATTTCCTACGGGGGGCCAGGGTGAAAAATGTATGCACTCACTAACTGTAAGTCGCTCTGGATAAGAGCGTCTGCTAAATGACTAAAATGTAAAATGTAAAATAACGACAAAGTGAAAACGTTTTTAGAAATGTTAGCAAATTTATTGAAAGTGAAATACAGAAATATCTCATTTACATAAGTATTCACATCCCTGAGTCAATAAATGTTATAATCACCTTTGGCAGCGATTACAGCTGTGAGTCTAAGAGCTTTGCACACATGGATTATACAATATTTGCACATAAAAAATAAAAATATTCTTCAAGCTCTGTCAAGTTGGTTGTTGATCATTGCTAGACGACCATTTTCAAGTCTTGCCATAGATTTTCAAGCTGATTTATAGTAAGTCAAAACTGTAACTAGGCCACTCAGGAACATTCAATGTCGTCCTTGATGAGGATTTTTTATTTATTTAATCCATTTTAGAATAAGGCTGTAACATAACAAATTGTGGAAAAAGGGAAGGGGTCTGAATACTTTCTGAATGCACTGTGTTCGGTTTCTTTTTATCCTAAAAAACTCCCTAGTCCTTGCTGATGGCAAGCATACCCATAACATGATGCAGCCACCACCATGCTTGAAAATATGAAGAGTGATACTCAGTGATGTGTTGTGTTGGATTTGCCCCAAACATAACGTTTGTATTCAGGACATTAAGTTAATTTCTTTGCCACATTTTTTGCAGTTTTACTTTAATGCCTTATTGCAATCAGGATGCATGTTTTGGAATATTTTTATGCTGTACAGGCTTCGTTCTTTTCACTCTGTCAATTAGGTTAGCATTGTGGTGTAATTACAATATTGTTGATCCATCCTCAGTTTTTCTCCTATCATAGCCATTAAACTCTGAAACTGTTTTAAAGTCACCATTGGCCTCATAGTGAAATCCCTGAGCGGTTTCCTTCCTCTCTGGCAACTGAGTTAGGAAGGACACCTGTATCTTTGTAGTGACTGGGTGTATTGATACACCATCCAAAGTGTAATTAATAACTTAACCATGCTCAAAGGGATATTTAATGTCTGATTTTTTTTAATTAACCATCTACTAATAGGTGCCTTTCATTGCGAGGCATTGGAAAACCTCCCTGGTCTTTGTGGTTGAATCTGTGTTTGGAATTCACTGCTTGACTGAGGGATCTTATAGATAATTGTATGTGTGGGGTAGAGAGATGAAGTAGTCATTCAAAAATCATGCTAAACACTATTGTTGCACACGGAGTGAGTCCATGCAACTTATTATGTGACTTGTTAAGCAAATGTTTACTCCTGAACTTATTTAAGCTTGCAATAACAAAGGGGTTGAATACTTATTGACTCATGACATTATAGCTTTTCATTTGTAATTAATTTGTTAACATTTCTAAAAACATATGGGGTATTGTGTGTAGGCCAGTGACACAAAATATAAATGTAATCAATTTTAAATTCAGGCAGTAACACAACAAAATGTGGAAAAAGTCAGGGGGTGTGAATATTTTCTGAAGGAACTGTAGATAGAGAGAGAGAGGGGAAAGGAGCGAGAGAGCGAGAGAGAAGAGAGAGGTTTTCAGTACTCAGCAGCAGTACAGTTCATTTGATCAGGATGTTTAGGTTCTCTACACAACAGAGGGTTATACTACATAGCACGATAGAGGAGTTAGCGAGCTAACTTTGGTCAATTCTGAGTTCAATTGGGATAACCGTTGACAAGAAGGTTGCTCACCTTTTAGCAAAGTACATTTCTATGGCAACGAATCCTTCAGTGCTAACCTGCTCCGGATCATCACTAGTTACAACAGCCACAAAGTCATAAACCCCGCCTATTTCTTAAAGTGTAACATCGATAGGTTTAGGCTACTACGGCCTCACAACCGCAGACCACGTGTAACCAGCCAGCCCAGGACCTCCACATCCGGCTTCTTCACCTGCGGGATCGTCTGAGAACAGCCACCTGGACAGCTGATGAAACTGAGGAGTATTTCTGTCTGTAATAAAGCCCTTTTGTAGGGAAAAACTCATTCTGATTGGCTGGGCCTGGCTCCCCAGTGGGTGGGCCTGGCTCCCAAGTGGGTGTGCCTATGCCCTCCCAGGCCCACCCATGGCTGCGCCCCTGCCCAGTCATGTGAAATCCATAGATTAGGGCCTAATGAATTTATTTCAATTGATTGATTTCCTAATATGAACTGTAACTCAGTAAAATCGTTGAAATTGTTGCATGTTGCGTTTATATTTTTGTTCAGTATATACAGTACGCAACACATTTTCCACCAACAGGTTTCTGTACCAATGCACCATACAACCAATAAACAAAGCTGCTTAAAATGTTTTACACAAGCAGTTTTTACGAGCTTGTTTTGGCTGTTCTGTAGCTTATTGTGTAGATGTTAGGGGCTGCTGGTGAACAATGATCGGCAGGCATAATCAAAGTGACACTGGACTAGCGCACTTGCCAGAGTCTTAAGGGTGTTGATAGCTAGGTTTCCATCCAATTGGCGACAGATTTTCATGTGAAAATTCTAAAATCTGCGTAAAAACAATATGCACATTTTCCCATCGGAGTTGTGTTTCCATCGTCTGTGCGTCAACCCTTCTCTTGAACAAAAGCGTGCTGACCTGGTAGCGACGAACCTACTGATTCTACTTGTAGAATTACAATGCTCATCAGTGGCCAACAACTTGACTTTGAGCCAATCAGAGATGATGATCCGCACCAGACAGCACATCTCAGTAAATGTCGAACAGTCCCTTATTTCCCACCAAAGCCTACATTTGCAGGATAACGTTTTCTTCATTTAATTCATTTTGATTTCGGCAAAAATTTAAATGCACCACTGATTGCTGTTTCACCATTGTCTCAATGAAGGTCAAAAATAGTGGACTATAGAGGGAATAGGGTGCCATTTGGGATGCGTGTAGTAAGCCTCATAGCTAGAGATAAGAGTACAGCAACTAAATCATCTGTAATAGATTGATACTGTATTATTATAGGATGAGCTCTGTCAACAAGAATAATGGTGGTGTCAGTGATGATGTCCCTTTTGTATCTAATATCATAACCGCATTAATGAAATGAAATATTACCCTAAAGTCTCTCTTTTACTCTCATACCTCTCTCCCTCTCTTCCCTCTCTCCCTCTCTTCCGCTCTCCTCTCTCCCTCTCTTCCAACTCTCCCTCTCTCTGATCTTCTCGCTCCCTCCTTTGCTCTCTCTTATTCATGTCCTCCTCCCCCTCCTCCTCCCCCTCCCCTCCCCCTCCCTCCCTCCCTCCTCCCTCCCTCCCTCCCTCCCTCTGCCTCTCTCTCTCCTCCCTTCTCCCTCTCCCTCTCCCTCTCCCTCTCCCTCTCCCTCTCCCTCTCCCTCTATCTCTCTCTCTCCCTCTCTCTCTCTCCCCCCTCTCTCTACCTCTCTTTCTCCCTCCCTCCATCCCTCCATCTCTCACACGCTGTGCTCCCATCTGTTTCAGGAACTTCAAAGACCTTCCAATCCCCCTGGTCTCTCTCCTTTTTAACTCTTTTATCGGCCTTTAATAAAGCCCCACTTCAAAAAGGAAAGACTTTCTCCCTCATTATCACTTCATTACTTTATTAAACTGCTATGCTAATATATTATAATAATGTATATTCGATGTATGACATTTATATATTTTTTAAAGCGGGCCCAGTTGAATCGGGCTATTTTATTTATTTTATTATTTATGTATTATTATGAGGAAGGGTAGATGAAAGTGTGGATATGGAGGAGAGAGAGGAGAGGAGTAGTAGAAGAGTGTAGGAGTTGAGGACATGCATTCTAAAGTACAGGACCTCATCAGTGATGCACCCTAGGATGTCACTGTAGTGGTTGTGGTGCTTGATGTGGAGTGGGTGTCTCTGATGCGGCCTGTTGATGCTTCTCCAGTCTGTGTCATGAACTCTTTTATCTCTCTCCATCTCTCTCTGCTCTCTCTCCATCTCTATCTGCTCTCTCTCCATCTCTCTCTGCTCTCTCTCCATCTCTCTCTGCTCTCTCTCTCCATCTCTCTATCTCTCTCTGCTCTCTCTCCATCTCTCCATCTCTCTCTGCTCTCTCTCCATCTCTATCTGCTCTCTCTCCATCTCTATCTGCTCTCTCTCCATCTCTCTCTGCTCTCTCTCCATCTCTCTCTGCTCTCTCTCTCCATCTCTCTATCTCTCTATCTCTCTCTGCTCTCTCTCCATCTCTTCATCTCTCTCTGCTCTCTCTCCATCTCTCCATCTCTCTCTGCTCTCTCTCCATCTCTCTCTGCTCTCTCTCTCCATCTCTCTATCTCTCTATCTCTCTCTGCTCTCTCTCCATCTCTCATCTCTCCATCTCTCTCTGCTCTCTCTCATCTCTCCATCTCTCCATCTCTCTCTCATCATCCTCCCACTATGGATCTGTCATGGACCTCACATCATGACCCTGGAGAGCCACGAGAGCTCTCTGGCTGACGTACACTGAATGTGTTTGTGTGTGTATGTGCATGTGTGTTCGTGTGTGTGTCCATGTGTGTGTGCTGTCGTTTTTTTCAAGTGTATGGGGGTGGAAGGTGTATAGGTACTTTATGTTTCATTGTCTGGAAAGTATTGGATTTGTCAGGTCTTTGACTTGTGCGATTCCTGGCTGTGTATTTTGTCTGTGTGTATGTGTGTCAGAATGTTTGATTCTGGTGTCACATCTCTCTCATACATTCCTCTGTTGAGTTTTGTTTTATGTGTCTCTCTCTACGCTGGCATCGGTTAACTCCAGCTTGCCTTTGATTGCAGCTTCAAATGCCGCCTGCCTGAGTGGTTTTCTCCACACGTTCTGGCACTCCCCCCTCCAGAGCTCTCTCCCAGCTAGCTCATTCTGGCCCCACCCCCTACCTCACTCTGTCCTTAACCACGGTACACCGTGCCCTCTGTGCGGCGTCTGTCTGCGAGACTGAGACAGGGCAGAACTCAACTTTGGCCTCCAGAAAGAGCCACAGGGATGGAGATCAATTGCCTGGCTACCCAGACTCCTTGCTCCGGCCAAACGCTACGCCACGCCCATGGACGTTCGTTTCTTCTCCGGAATGAGTCTGGATCTCCCCGACCCTTCACCGAATGCGGACTGGTTGGTTGGTCCAGAAACCGATGGGTTGGGCCAGAACCAGAACACATGTACAAGTGGCAGTTTGAAAATTCTTAATTGTCTTTGTACTCTGATTGGTTAGAGACAATCCAATCACTGATGTCTTTGTTTTGTACAACGCTCCTCGTGCCCCTCTTCACCACAAATGACTTCAATGATGGCAGTCTCAGACTAAAGTGCTCTACATGACCAAAAGTATGTGGACATCTCATTCCAAAATCATGGGCAATAATATGGAGTTGGTCCCCCTTTTGCTTCTATAACAGCCTCCACTCTTCTGGGAAGGCTTTCCACCAAATGTTGGAACATTGCTGCGGGGACTTGCTTCCATTCAGCCACAAGAGCATTAGTGAGGTCGGGCACAGTCGGCGTTCCAATTCATCCCAAAGGTGTTTGATGGGGTTGAGGTAAGGGGTCTGTGCAGGCCAGTCAAGTTCTTCCACACCGATCTCGACAAACCATTTCTGTATGGACCTCGATTTGTGCACGGGGGCATTGTAATGTTGAAACAGGAAAGGGCCTTCCCCAAACTGTTGCCACAAAGATGGAGATTTCCCTTCACTGGAACTAAGGGACCTAGCCCGAACCATGGAAAACAGCCCCAGACCATTATTCCTCCTCCACCAAACTTTACAGTTGGCACTATGCACTAGCTTTCTCCTGGCTACCGCCAAACCCAGATTCGTCTGTCGGACTGCCAGATGGTGAAGCGTGATTCATCACTGCAGAGAATGCGTTTCCACTGCTCCAGAGTCCAATGGCGGCGAGCTTTACACCACTCCAGCCGACACTTATGGTGATCTTAGGCTTGTGTGTGGCTGCTCGGCTATGGAAACCCATTTTATGAAGCTCCCAACGAACAGTTCTTGTGCTGACGTTGCTTCCAGAGGCAGTTTGGAACTCGGTAGTGAATGTTGCAACCGAGGACAGACGCGCTTCAGCATTTGGGAGTCCAGTTCTGTGAGCTTGTGTGGCCTACCACTTTGCGGCTGAGGCGTTGTTGCTCCTAGACGTTTCCACTTCACATTAACAGCAGTTACAGTTGACCGGGGCAGCTCTAGCAGGGCTGAAATTTGACGAACTGACTTGTTGGAAATGTGGCATCCTATGACGGTGCCACCTTGAAAGTCACTGAGCTCTTCAGTAAGGCCATTCTACTGCAAATGTTTGTCTATGGAGATTGCATGGCTGAGTGCTCGGGTGTGGCTGAAATAGCCGAATACACTAATTTGAAGGGGTGTCCACATACTGCTGTATATATAGTGTATGTAGCGAATGACAGAGCAGCTGAAAAATGTAGTGTGAGTCATCAGGCTAGGAGATCAATGGAGTCAATGCTGAAAGTCAATGCTGAAAGTCAGAGACAGAGATACAGCGGTAGAGAGAGAAAAGACAGAGCAGATAGATAGCCAGGCATACTGTGGGTGCATCCCAAATAGCACCCTATTCTCTCTATAGTGCACAACTGTAAATACAAAGGGAATATCTACTCTGAGTCAGTCAGTGTGGTTGGGGTGTTGATGCTGTGCTCTTGTCTTCACACCTCTCTCTCGCTACATGCGGACGTCCAACTGTTTGCCCACACGTTCATCATCCTGGCCCTCCTGTGTGTGTGTGTGTGCGTCCCTGTGTGTGTGTGTGCCTGTATGTGTGTCTGATAAGATATTGTGTAACAGATGGAGTAACCTAATACCTGTCTCATCTTTTCCTTTCCGCTGTTCCTCTCTGTCCGTCCACCCAGTGGCATGGCTGATGTGATGCTATCTGGGTCTTACCAGAATCCTCCCTGTCTTGTTCCAGGAATCAGCCCACCCCACCCTACCGGTCTGCCGGCCCCTTTCCGTCCGGTAACCCTCTGGCCGCCTGTCTGTCCGGTAAACCTCTGGTCCGCCTGTCCATCCGGTAAACCTCTGGCTCCCTGTCCGTCTGGTAAACCTCTGGCCCCCTGTCAGTCTGGTAAACCTCTTGCCCCCTGTCTGTCCGGTAAACCTCTGGCCTCCTGTCTGTCCGGAAAACCTCTGGCCCCTTGTACGTCTGGTAAACCTCTGGCCCCCTGTCCATCCGGTAAACCTCTGGGTTCCTGTCCGTCCGGTAAACCTCTGGCCCCTTGTCCATCTGGTAAACCTCTGGCCCCCTGTCCATCCGGTAAACCTCTGGGTTCCTGTCCGTCCGGTAAACATCTGGCCCCTTGTCCATCTGGTAAACCTCTGGCCCCCTGTCGGTCCGGGTAAAACCTCTAAAGCCTCCCATGTCTGTCCGGTAAACCTCTAGCCCCCTGTCTGTCCGGTAAACTCTGGCCCCCTGTCTGTCCGGTAAACCTCTAGCCCCCTGTCTGTCCGGTAAACCTCTGGCCCCCTGTCTGTCCGGTAAACCTCTAGCCCCCTGTCTGTCCGGTAAACCTCTGGCCCCCTGTCTGTCCGGTAAACCTCTAGCCCCCTGTCTGTCCGGTAAACCTCTGGCCCCCTGTCTGTCCGGTAAACCTCTGGCCCCCTGTCTGTCCGGTAAACCTCTGGCCCCCTGTCTGTCGGTAAACCTCTGGCCCCCTGTCTGTCCGGTAAACCTCTAGCCCCCTGTCCGTCCGGTAAACCTCTGGCCCCCTGTCTGTCCGGTAAACCTCTGGCCCCCTGTCTGTCCGGTAAACCTCTGGCCCCCTGTCCGTCTGGTAAACCTCTGGCCCCCTGTCTGTCCGGTAAACCTCTGGCCCCCTGTCTGTCCGGTAAACCTCTGGCCCCCTGTCTGTCCGGTAAACCTCTGGCCCCCTGTCTGTCCGGTAAACCTCTGGCCCCCTGTCTGTCCGGTAAACCTCTGGCCCCCTGTCTGTCCGTCTGGTAAACCTCTGGCCCCCTGTCTGTCCGTCTGGTAAACCTCTGGCCCCCTGTCTGTCCGTCTGGTAAACCTCTGGCCCCCTGTCTGTCCGTCTGTAAACTCTGGCCCCCTGTCTGTCCGTCGGTAAACCTCTGGCCCCTGTCTGTCGTCTGGTAAACCTCTGGCCCCCTGTCTGTCCGTCTGGTAAACCTCTGGCCCCCTGTCTGTCCGGTAAACCTCTGGCCCCCTGTCTGTCCGGTAAACCTCTGGCCCCCTGTCTGTCCGGTAAACCTCTGGCCCCTTGTCTGTCCAGTAAACCTCTGGCCCCCTGTCTGCCCGGGTAAACCTCTGGCCCCCTGTCTGTCCGGTTAACTCTGGCCCCTTGTCCGTCCAGTAAACCTCTGGCCCCCTGTCTGTCCGGTAAACCTCTGGCCCCCTGTCTGTCCGGTAAACCTCTGGCCCCCTGTCTGTCCGGTTAACCTCTAGCCCCCATGCTCAAATAGACACAGACTCCCCTGGAATAAGACTTCCTCAGGTGGAGCAGTTCGTTCTCAGGTTACATAGACTATGGATGTGTCCAAATGGCACCCTATTCCCTATGTAGTGCACTACCTTTGAGCATGGCCCATAGGGCTCCGGTCAAAAGCAGTGCACTGTATAGGGAATAGGGTGCCATTTGGGATGCGGCCCATTTCAACCTTTTGGAGCCTGAATAAAATTAGCCCAGCCTGGAGCAGAGTAGCATCCCATCCAAAATCAATGGGATGCATCATACATAAGCACAGTAGCACACACATCGTTTATGTGTGATGTATAAAGTGGCAGACCATAGCTGTTAGGTATTCCCAGTGCTGTTTTAGGGGCTGATCCTGGATCCGTCCTGTTCTGTCACAGCACCCTAAATGGCATGCTATTCCCTATAAAGTGCAGTACTTTTGACCATGGCCCAGGGTGGTCAAAGGTAGTGCACTATGTAGGGAATTGTGTGGTCAAAAGTTAAATGAATAACGTGCCATTTCAGAGCCATCCCAGGTGCCCATCCCTCATCGTCGATCCGTCTCCTTGGCGATGCGTAGAGGTGATACTCCATCAGGGAAATTGATTAGTCTCATTGGCTGGCTAATTTATTGATGGTTGTCCTCTCCCTGGGATAATGAGTGTATTATTGATGGTTGTCCTCTGCCAGGGATAATGAGTGTATTATTGATGGTTGTCCTCTCCCAGGGATAATGAGTGTATTATTGATGGTTGTCCTCTCCCATGGATAATGTGTATTATTGATGATCGTCCTCTCCCAGGGATAATGTGTATTATTGATGATCGTCCTCTCCCAGGGATAATGTGTATTATTGATGATCGTCCTCTCCCAGGGATAATGAGTGTATTATTGATGATCGTCCTCTCCCAGGGATAATGTGTATGGCCCTTCAGTGATTGATGTGTTGGCGGGCCGATAGAGGGAGCCCTCTCTGTCTGCATTCCTCCTCAATGTAGAACCTGACCTGTTATGAGTCACACAGTCACATGGTTTTGTCCCAAATGGCACCCTATTTCCTATGTAGTGTACTACTTTTGACCAGAGCCCTATGGGTCCTGGTCAAAAGTAGTGTGCTATATAGGTAATGGAGTGGTATTTGGGATATAGCCACAGTCACACCATTGACCGATGTGAGGAGAATGGAGACTGGTGGGATGTTGTGACTGACATCCTAAGTACAGTCCCAGTCAAAAGTTTTAGAACACCTACTCATTCAATGGTTTTTCTTTATTTTTACTATTTTCTACATTGTAGAATAATAGTGAAGACATCAAAACTATGAAATAACACTTATGGAATCATGTAGTAACCAAAAAAGTGTTAAACAAATCAAAGTATATTTTACATTTGACATTTTAGTCATTTAGCAGATGCTCTTATCCAGAGCGACTTACAGTTAGTGAGTGCATACATTTTTCATACTTATTTTAAATTTGAGATTCTTGAAATAGCCACCCTTTGCCTTCATGACAGCTTTGCACACTCTTGGCATTCTCTCAACCAACTTCCTGAGGTATGTGTCACATCCATATGTGTTATTTCATAGTTGTGATGTCTTCACTATTATTCTACATTGTAGAAAATAGTAAAAATAAAGAAAAACAAGTAGGTGTGTCCAAACTTTTGACTGGTAGTGTACGTCTTACCATGCAGGCACGTGAATATGGAGGCTATAAGGCTGATACTGCTGCAGACAGGCACGTTAATATGGAGGCTATAAGGCTGATACTGCTGCAGACAGGCACGTTAATATGGAGGCTATAAGGCTGATACTGCTGCAGACAGGCACGTTAATATGGAGGCTATAAGGCTGATACTGCTGCAGACAGGCACGTTAATATGGAGGCTATAAGGCTGATACTGCTGCAGACAGGCACGTTAATATGGAGGCTATAAGGCTGATACTGCTGCAGACAGGCACGTTAATATGGAGGCTATAAGGCTGATACTGCTGCAGACAGGCACGTTAATATGGAGGCTATAAAGGCTGATACTGCTGCAGACAGGCCCGTTAATATGGAGGCTATAAGGATGATACTGCTGCAGACAGGCACGTTAATATGGAGGCTATAAGGATGATACTGCTGCAGACAGGCACGTTAATATGGAGGCTATAGGCTGATACTGCTGCAGACAGCACGTTAATATGGAGGCTATAAGGATGAATCCTGGCTGCAGACAGGCACGTTAATATGGAGGCTATAAGGATGATACTGCTGCAGACAGGCACGTTAATATGGAGGCTATAAGGCTGATACTGCTGCAGACAGGCACGTTAATATGGAGGCTATAAGGCTGGAGGAGGAGGAGAGAGGATGGAGGAGGAGGGAGGAGGAGAGATGGAGGAGGAGGGAGGTTAAGGGAGGAAAAGAGATGAGGGAGGAGGAGAGATGGAGGAGGAGGGAGGTAAAGGGAGGAGAAGGCCAGGGTGCTGACGGAGGAGGGAGGGGTTTAGGTTAAAGAGGAGGATAGATGAGGAGGGAGGAGGAGAGATGATGGAGGGGGAAGGAGGAGGAGAGAGGAGAGAGGAGGAGGAAGGAGGAAGGAGGAGGAGGAAGGATGGAGGAGGAAGGAGGAGGAGAGAGGAAAGATGAGGGATGCCTAGGATGTCTTTGTGTCTGTGTCTAGGGAGACATGTCTGTTGTAACTACTACTACTACTACTACTACTACTACTACTACTACTACTACTACTACTACTACTACTACTACTACTACTACTACTACTACTACTCTCTAGAGAGAGCCACCACCATGTCTGTATATGAGTCTATAGCATCATGGGCCCAGTCTGCGTCCAACTGGCACCCTATTCCTTAGATAGTGCACCTTTCGACCAGGGCCCATAGGCCCACATATAGTAAGCAGTTCACTAAATAGGGAATAGGGTCCCTGACACACAGCCCCTCTCCCTCCATTAGAGGTCACCTGATCCCACCCAACCCTCCAGGCCTTAGCCTGCTGAGAGGACACCTGAGACCACCCAACCCTCCAGGCCCTAGCCTGCTGAGAGGACACCTGATCCCACCCAACCCTCCAGGCCCTGGCCTGCTGAGAGGACACCTGATCCCACTCAACCCTCCAGGCCCTAGCCTGCTGAGAGGACACCTGATCCCACCCAACCCTCCAGGCCCTAGCCTGCTGAGAGGACACCTGATCCCACCCAACCCTCCAGGCCCTAGCCTGCTGAGAGGACACCTGATCCCACCCAACCCTCCAGGCCCTAGCCTGCTGAGAGGACACCTGATCCCACCCAACCCTCCAGGCCCTGGCCTGCTGAGAGGACACCTGGTCCCACCCAACCCTCCAGGCCCTGGCCTGCTGAGAGGACACCTGATCCCACCCAACCCTCCAGGCCCTGGCCTGCTGAGAGGACACCTGATCCCACCCAACCCTCCCGGCCCTAGCCTGCTGAGAGGAAACTTGATCCCACCCAACCCTCCAGGCCCTAGCCTGCTGAGAGGACACTTGATCCCACCCAACCCTCCAGGCCCTAGACTGCTGAGAGGAAACTTGATCCCACCCAACCCTCCAGGCCCTAGTCTGCTGAGAGGAAACTTGATCCCACCCAACCCTCCCGGCCCTAGCCTGCTGAGAGGAAACTTGATCCCACCCAACCCTCCAGGCCCTGGCCTGCTGAGAGGAAACTTGATCCCACCCAACCCTCCCGGCCCTAGCCTGCTGAGAGGAAACTTGATCCCACCCAACCCTCCAGGCCCTAGCCTGCTGAGAGGACACCTGATCCCACCCAACCCTCCAGGCCCTAGCCTGCTGAGAGGACACTTGATCCCACCCAACCCTCCAGGCCCTAGACTGCTGAGAGGAAACTTGATCCCACCCAACCCTCCAGGTCCTGGCCTGCTGAGAGGGAGAGAGCAGAGAGGAGCGGGCCCAGGAAATGGCTCCATAATGGTTATTAGACTGAGCTCTGTGACCCCCATGTACTTAGAGCCTTTATAAAGAGCTCCAGCTCTCTTTGAGCCATTATAAAGTAGCTTGCTCTACTACGGTCTGTAAGCGATACAGCAGGTTGCATCTGATTTACATGGTTGACTTTATGAAGATGTCTGGCCTTAAGAGGCTTTAACAGAACTTGAGGAGGCAGAAGGAAGTAGAAGGACTTTATAAAGATGTCTGGCTTTTACTTTACTTCACATATTCTCTATTGTTCTCATTTGGTGTAAATGAAATAGTGTATTTGTGTGAGCATTGTGCGCTTCAGTGTGTGTACGTGTGTGTGTACGTGTGTGTGTACGTGTGTGTGTACATGTGTGTGTTTACGTGTGTACGTGTGTGTATGTACGTGTGTGTGTGTGTATGTATGTGTGTAACGTGTGCCCCTTCCTGGCAGCCTGACTGGCATTCAGCACGTCTGTCTTCTCATTGGTCATTGGGAAGTACATCTCAGGCACAGCAGAACAACCCAACTCAAAACTCTAATATGAGGCACACCAACACACCCCTCTCCCTCTCTCCAACCACATGCATACCCTCATTTGGAGAAGGAACGGAACGCAGACTGAGAGGAAACACAGTGTGAGCTATTGCAGTATATCTCTGCTGTGTAGAGGGCCATTGCCTAAATACATTAAAAATAACACACATGTCAAAAATATTGTGATGTTCAGACACTCATGGTAACCAATCATTATCCACTCATGGTGGTCCTCTGTAGCTCAGCTGGTAGAGCACGGCGCTTGTAACGCCAAGGTAGTGGGTTCGATCCCCGGGACCACCCATACACAAAAAAATGTATGCACGCATGACTGTAAGTCGCTTTGGATAAAAGCGTCTGCTAAATGGCATATTATTATTATTATTATTATGGTAACCAATCATTATCCACTCATGGTAACCAATCATTATCTAAGTTCCCTCTCAGTTCACTGGTGTGAATTAGGGTGCATAGTAAGTTTTCAGGCAGTCACTTCAAAAAGTAACTAGTTGATTATTTGTAAAACAAAACCTGTTCTCCAGTACCCTGGGCTTATCACCTGCCCAAGACCTGTTCTCCAGTACCCTGGGCTTATCACCTGACCAAAACCTGTTCTCCAGTACCCTGGGCTTATCACCTGCCCAAAACCTGTTCTCCAATACCCTGGGCTTATCACCTGCCCAAGACCTGTTCTCCAGTACCCTGGGTTTATCACCTGCCCAAGACCTGTTCTCCAGTACCCTGGGTTTATCACCTGCCCAAGACCTGTTCTCCAGTACCCTGGGCTTATCACCTGCCCAAGACCTGTTCTCCAGTACCCTGGGCTTATCACCTGCCCAAGACCTGTTCTCCAGTACCCTGGGCTTATCACCTGCCCAAATGCTCCAGCTCAGTGGTTGTGTCACAAAAGGCACCCTGTTCCCTAATAGGTCACTACTTTTGACCAGAGCCCAATGAGCCCTGGGCCCTGGTCAAAAGTAGTGCACTATAAAGGGGTGCCATTTAGGATGCAGGAAGTGACTCCCAGCCAGATCCCCTGCCTAGAGCAGTAATAGAACCCTAAAACCTCTCTCCATTCTCCTTTGTTGTTGTCTCTCCCTGCCATCTTCCTCTGGGCGGGGGGCGTGGGAGATGGAGACTGTGCCTCTTTGCCACAATGTTGATAAGACTTCACTTAGTGCCTTGAAACACCTCTGATTATTTCCCTGCCTCACGTCGACCGCACCCTCCCTTCCTCCTGCCTGCTCTATGCCTTTCTCTTCCAGACATCTACAAGGCAATACAGTCCGCTGGGTCTAGGTTGGCAGCTCAAATCAGGATTAATGGGATGCTTTTAAGTGGCTAAGACTCTTGAAATGTGCTCTTTTGTAGTGTCAGAAAGGTCAAACCCCAAATCGTGGTTTTCATCTGATGTGGAGGCTTTGAATTGCTTAGTGTACAAGCCTCTGTCTTCAGCGGATGATAACACAAAGGTGTGTGTGTGTGGGTGCGTGTGCGTGTGTGTGGGTGCGTGTGCGTGTGTGTGTGTTTGAGTGTGTGTGTGGGAAACATTTCCTCTGAGTGTGTTTGTGAAAGAGAGAGTGTTTTACAGTGATTGTGAATGTTTTTTGGTTTGTTTTTATTGATGTGTTCACTAGAAATGAGTTTTAAAGCTGCACTTTTATCTAACATTCTCTCCCCCTTCCTCTCTCTCTCCTTCTCTGTCACCGCCCCCTCCCCTCCCCCTCTATCTACCAGAGGCCTTTGAGTTGGTGTTGCGTCTTGGCCGTAACTCGACCCTGCTGGTGCTGAAGGCGGAGTTCCCAGGGCTGGGGGGCGGGGCCCAGGGGGCGGTGGGTCAGCTCTTCCTGGATGTGTCTCTCTACATCCTGGGCTCAGACTCCAGCGTGGAACACATGGTCCAGGCCTTCTTCACCCGCCTCTTCCCCTTGACCTACCGACGCCTGCTGGGGGGTGGCGCAGCACCCATATCTGAGGAATGCCTGCGGGGGGCGTGGAAGGACTCCATAGCGTTCGGCCCCTACCCTAAACTCATGATGACTCGTTTATCACGCTCCCTCCTGGCCACGCGCGTCTTCCTGCAGGCGCTGAACCTGGGCATTGAGGTGGTCAACACCACTGACCACCTGCGCCCGGGGAGGGACTGTGGGCGCGCCCTGCTAAGGCTGTGGTACTGCCCACACTGCCAGGGCCTGCTGGGGGCCCCGGCCTGTAAAGGGTTTTGCCAGGCTGTGATGGCAGGGTGCCTGGGGGGCGCATCAGAGATACAGCCCCACTGGAGGGGGTACGTGGAGGGGCTAGGGAAGTTGGCGGGGGCCATGAGGGGGGAGCAGGACATGGAGGCTGTGATAATGAGGTTACATGTGCTGATCAGACTGGCCCTCAGACACGCTGTCAATGCACGCCCCCGCCTACACGCACTGGTGAGTAACAAGCAAGCATACGCTCGCACGCACACACTGAGCTGCCACCTCATCTATAACACCTACAGCCACCTGAACGGATGAGTCCCTCACAGACACACTAACAGCCATATCAATATGCTGAGTCCCTCACAGACACACTAACAGCCATATCAACATGCTGAGTCCCTCACCGACACACTAACAGCCATATCAACATGCTGAGTCCCTCACAGACACACTGACAGCCATATCAACATGCTTTGTCCCTCACAGACACACTAACAGCCATATCAACATGCTGAGTCCCTCACAGACACACTAACAGCCATATCAACATGCTGAGTCCCTCTGACACACTAACAGCCATATCAACATGCTGAGTCCCTCTAAGACACACTAACAGCCATATCAACATGCTGAGTCCCTCACAGACACACTAACAGCCATATCAACATGCTGAGTCCCTCTAAGACACACTAACAGCCATATCAACATTCTTAGTCCCTCACAGACACACTAACAGCCATATCAACATGCTAGGTCCCTCACAGACACACTAACAGCCATATCAACATGCTAGGTCCCTCACAGACACACTAACAGCCATATCAACATGCTGAGTCCCTCACAGACACACTAACAGCCATATCAACATGCTGAGTCCCTCACAGACACACTAACAGCCATATCAACATGCTGAGTCCCTCACAGACACACTAACAGCCATATCAACATGCTGAGTCCCTCTGACACACTAACAGCCATATCAACATGCTGAGTCGCTCACAGACACACTAACAGCCATATCAACATGCTGAGTCCCTCACAGACACACTAACAGCCATATCAACATGCTGAGTCCCTCACAGACACACTAACAGCCATATCAACATGCTGAGTCCCTCACAGACACACTAACAGCCATATCAACATGCTGAGTCCCTCACAGACACACTCACAGCCATATCAACATGCTGAGTCCCTCACAGACACACTAACAGCCATATCAACCTGCTGAGTCCCTCTGACACACTAACAGCCATATCAACATGCTGAGTCCCTCACAGACACACTAACAGCCATATCAACATGCTGAGTCCCTCTGACACACTATCAGCTATATCGGAGACTGGAGGGGTCAAGGCCATGGCCAAACAGGGAGACAGGAGGGGTTAAGTTTAGCAGTTGGAGGAGGGATCGCCGGGAAAGCCAAAGTCCCTCACAGACACACTAACAGCCATATCAACATGCTGAGTCCCTCACAGACACACTAACAGCCATATCAACATGCTGAGTCCCTCACAGACACACTAACAGCCATATCAACATGCTGAGTCCCTCACAGACACACTAACAGCCATATCAACATGCTGAGTCCCTCTGACACACTAACAGCCATATCAACATGCTGAGTCCCTCACAGACACACTCACAGCCATATCAACATGCTGAGTCCCTCACAGACACACTAACAGCCATATCAACATGCTGATTCCCTCACAGACACACTAACAGCCATATCAACATGCTGAGTCCCTCTGACACACTAACAGCCATATCAACATGCTGAGTCCCTCTGACACACTAACAGCCATATCAACATGCTGAGTCCCTCTGACACACTGTCAGCTATATCGGAGACTGGAGGGGTCAAGGCCATGGCCAAACAGGGAGACAGGAGGGGTTAAGTTTAGCAGTTGGAATAGGGATCACCGGGAAAGCCAAAGTCGAAACACGTGACAAGTCAAGGGGAGTTAGCAGATGGCATACACATCATAGTGAGAGATATCGTAAACTTGAACAATGAATAAAACCACACTGTACCAGTCTAGTAAGGTGCCTGCTCTTACAAGCCATCTCATTTTCTAGCAGGCAGTCAGGAAGAACTCAGTGCCATGGTATGAAGCAAATCCTCCCCTCCTGCTCAGCGGGAGCGGTGACCCTCTATGTGGGGTTTAAACTGCGATAAATGAGTCCAGTTGGTTTCCGTGCGTACATCTGAAGTGGGGGAGAAGTACTCATGAAATATGGAGGTCTTTTCTGGAGAAGTTGCTGTTTTCTGTCTCTGGTAGATGTGACATAGTGCTGAACTTTTCACTCTCAGACCCAGCCTCCCAGCGCTGAGCGACCAGGGTTATTTTCTCAGACCCAGCCTCCCAGCGCTGAGCGACCAGGGTTATTTTCTCAGACCCAGCCTCCCAGCGCTGAGCGACCAGGGTTATTTTCTCAGACCCAGCCTCCCAGCGCTGAGCGACCAGGATTATTTTCTCAGACCCAGCCTCCCAGCGCTGAGCGACCAGGGTTATTTTCTCAGACCCAGCCTCCCAGCGCTGAGCGACTAGGATTATTTTCTCAGACCTAGCCTCCCAGCGCTGAGTGACTAGGATTATTTTCCCAGACCTCATCACTTATTAAAACAGGGGTTGACCTCACTTACTCTACACTCCCAGTGTGTATGAGTGTGAGTATATGTGTGTGTGCGTGTGTGTGTATGTGCGTTGAGGGGTACCAGTGCTGTGACTTCAGGACTACATTCTGAGTCGGGAAAAAGTTTTCCACTGCATGTGTGTCTGCTTGAGGAAGGCAGAATGTGATCCATGAATGGAAGTGACCTGTTATGTGGTTACACTGCAATGTGACTCATTCTAGTCCCAATGGACTGTGCAGTGTGTGTGTGTGTATGTGTGTGTGTTTGTGAGCATGTGTTCAGGTGCGCGTGTGCATTTGTGTGTGTGTGTGTGTGTGTGTGTGTGTGCATGTGTTAATGTGTGTGTTTGTGTTTGTGTGTGCATGCACCTGTTTAGTGTTCCCCAGGACAGCTCACTCCTCTGTGTTGTCATTGAGGGGACAGACAGAGACACCATCTCCCCTAATTCAATCCTGTCAAAGCGTGAGAGATAAACTGAAATTAGACAAAAACTTCATATTTGTCTTGAAATGTGCTAGTGTCAATGTGACTTTGACTTTCACTGTCCTCTCCTTTACCTCCTCCTGTTATTGTGTTTGTGTGTGTGCATGTGTGTGTGTGTCCATCTCTTCATGGGTCACTGAGGGATGAGGCAAAAGCAGGGCAGCAGTGGACTGACTGTTCACTATGACATTCACATTCACTGGAAACCATTGTATAGCACTGGTACGTACAGTGGGGAAAAAAAGTATTTAGTCAGCCACCAATTGTGCAAGTTCTCCCACTTAAAAAGATTTCAGAGGCCTGTAATTTTCATCATAGGTACACGTCAACTATGACAGATAAATTGAGAAAAGAAAATCCAGAAAATCACATTGTAGGATTTTTAATGAATTTATTTGCAAATTATGGTGGAAAATAAGTATTTGGTCAACTACAAACAAGCAAGATTTCTGGCTCTCACAGACCTGTAACTTCTTCTTTAAGAGGCTCCTCTGTCCTCCACTCGTTACCTGTATTAATGGCACCTGTTTGAACTTGTTATCAGTATAAAAGACACCTGTTCACAACCTCAAACAGTCACACTCCAAACTCCACTATGGCCAAGACCAAAGAGCTGTCAAAGGACACCAGAAACAAAATTGTAGACCTGCACCAGGCTGGGAAGACTGAATCTGCAATAGGTAAGCAGCTTGGTTTGAAGAAATCAACTGTGGGAGCAATTATTAGGAAATGGAAGACATACAAGACCACTGATAATCTACCTCGATCTGGGGCTCCACGCAAGATCTCACCCCGTGGGGTCAAAATGATCACAAGAACGGTGAGCAAAAATCCCAGAACCACACGGGGGGACCTAGTGAATGACCTGCAGAGAGCTGTGACCAAAGTAACAAAGCCTACCATCATTAACACACTACACCGCCAGGGACTCAAATCTTGCAGTGCAAGACGTGTCCCCCTGCTTAAGCCAGGCCCGTCTGAAGTTTGCTAGAGTGCATTTGGATGATCCAGAAGAGGATTGGGAGAATGTCATATGGTCAGATGAAACCAAAATAGAACATTTTGGTAAAAAATCAACTCGTCGTGTTTGGAGGACAAAGAATGCTGAGTTGCATCCAAAGAACACCATACCTACTGTGAAGCATGGGGGTGGAAACATCATGCTTTGGGGCTGTTTTTCTGCAAAGGGACCAGGACGACTGATCCGTGTAAAGGAAAGAATGAATGGGGCCATGTAGCGTGAGATTATGAGTGAAAACCTCCTTCCATCAGCAAGGGCATTGAAGATGAAACGTGGCTGGGTCTTTCAGCATGACAATGATCCCAAACACACCGCCCGGGCAACGAAGGAGTGGTTTCTTAAGAAGCATTTCAAGGTCCTGGAGTGGCCTAGCCAGTCTCCAGATCTCAACCCCATAGAAAATCTTTGGAGGGAGTTGAAAGTCCGTGTTGCCCAGCGACAGCCCCAAAACATCACTGCTCTAGAGGAGATCTGCATGGAGGAATGGGCCAAAATACCAGCAACAGTGTGTGAAAACCTTGTGAAGACTTACAGAAAACGTTTGACCTGTGGCATTGCCAAAAAAGGGTATATAACAAAGTATTGAGAAACTTTTGTTATTGACCAAATACTTATTTTCCACCATAATTTGCAAATAAATTCATAAAAAATCCTACAATGTGATTTTCTGGAAAATAAATTCTCATTTTGTCTGTCATAGTTGACGTGTACCTATGATGAAAATTACAGGCCTCTCTCATCTTTTTAAGTGGGAGAACTTGCACAATTGGTGGCTGACTAAATACTTTTTTTCCCCACTGTACGTGCTGCTGTGGTATACTCCAGCAATAGACAGAAGCACATGGGACCTATAACTGAAACCATAATAACATAATGCATAGTAAAATCACAACTACTGTGTGTCGGGTTCTGTACACCACCCAGCTAGCACATAACGTTATGAGAACCAGATATTTCTTAGAGCTTGGTGAGAGCATGGTTGTCCTATGGTTATTTTGCATACAACCTTCCCAAACCTTCTAGGAATGGTGCAGGATAGTTGCTTGGCTTTGGAACATTCTCAGCACATTTAAGGAACTTGACAAATAAACATTTTTTTTTTTTCGTATTTCATTACTTTAAGAGAACATTTCCTAAAAGTTCAAACATGGCTACATTTAATAAAGATTT